ATTAGATAGAAAAGGCCTCAAATATCCCCCACAACAAATTTAAGTATAATGCATATTTACATCCATGAAAATTAGGCCAATGATTAGACTATGCTTTGTCATCAAGCACACACACAGAATACACATCAATAGGTTCGTTTCGCATTAGGAAAAAGGAGCGCTTCAGCGTTATCAGGACCCAAAGTACTTCAGAGCTCGCTCTTACATTCTCCAGGGGTATTATGGGTTATTTGGAGCCAGGCCTGTGTGAGAAAGTGAGTGAGCGAGAGAGTCTTCACTTGAAACAAAATACTGAGACCACAGAAAATGACACACTGATGGGGACAGATGTCTACTCCAATGTCATTTACAGATTAATGGAGTTTGGCTATAGATGTGGCAGAGACTCTAGCACGCTCACATGTGTGCATGATAATGCCAACTGTGGGCATCAAATCCCTCTTATAAGGCCAGAGAGGAACCAAGGGCCCATCTTAAAATACTGCCAGCTGCATCAGAGTTTTGGGTTGTGTTTCCCCACAGGCTGATGAACCATTTTTGACATTTCGAGTATAGACAGCCAAGGCTTTATGGTCTCAGTATTGGCTAAGCTACTGGCATTACAACTCCAGCTGACTATTACACTTCCATCTGATCTGATGATCAAGGCTATAGTCTGTCTCTAGTTTTTGTGAGACTCACAGGCAGCAATTCAGAGTAGTCAGAGTACTCCACCGATTTATGGTGCAGTCGGAAAAAATGATGCAGCACTAGAGCCAGAGATATCGTCTTTTTTATTCCATGCACTCTTTTTCCTTGTGCCTACATTATCCACGATGAACCTCAACCATAAAAAGTTTGGTCTGAGATAAGGGTGCATTATGCTAATAGCACCTAATGTAGCCTCGTGCCTCAAGCAGAGATGAGGAGCGGGATAGAGAGGGCGGGCAAGCTTACTTTTTTCTACTCTCTAACTCTTTATAAAACACTTCAAAGTTGTGGTCCTCAGCCCAAACCAACACTGACTCAGCTGATATCACTTGAGGCTATATTCCTCCAGAGCCAGAAAAACTTTATGCAAAGTTTTTCACATATGCAGTAGTGCTCCCCAAGACCAGCAAACACACTTTGATGTGTAAAATCGGTTAGTTCCCCTTACTTTCGAGATCTGTCTGATTTGCTGAACTTCCTGAATAGTCTGGATAAAATAACACACTACAGTTGAATCTGCAGCTCTAGTCCAAACCATCTGGAATTCACTGGAGATAGATCATCAGCCTTCAGTTGTGAAGTGCAAAGCCACCGTTTCAAAGCCACATCATGTTAACAAAGTCATATGAAACCCAGAGAACAGCTGGATGACCTCCGCCGCACAGCTGACTATTGGTCATATGGAGAAAATCATCTAAAAACTGCAACAGATGATGCAGCAGTCATCATACATTATCCACGGTGAGCTCACTGGATGACAGATGGGAGGAAGAGTTCAACTTTTAAAAAAAGGCCAGATCGAGGATTAGCATCACGATCTGCTACATTCACATGCACATTTAAGGCTGAATGATGACATGGTTCACATGGTGCAAATTTCTGATGAACAAGAGGCTGGAGGCAGAAACTACAGCATTTCAGGTTATATTGAGAAGTAGGTAGAATTAAAACGTAGGTAAACCACCAATGACAAGCCAAATGTCTAAATTGAGGAAAAGAGCTTGTGTGAAGGCAACACTATACAGGGGATGTAAAATGGAAACCCTCCTATATAATTACTAGTTGTAGGGCCCCTGCTGAGCTAGCATGTCGACCTAAAGTGGCCACAGCAAAGGCAAATGAGGGGTCAGGTCCAGTAAAGGGTATATTTAGTCTGTCGATGGCAAGCTTTTTAAAAACAACACGCCCTTTCGCTGAGTCACATGGTACTGGAAGATTTGAAAAACTTGCCTATAAACATACAAGCAAGTGAAGTAAGCTAACTAGAGGAACACGGGCTGCTGTGTGGTGTTCCCCATCCAAGTGCCGAGTGTGTCTCTGTAGTCTAACATGAAAAACATAATCACCATGCACTGTTCCTTTAATTAAAAGGAAGAAAAAAAAGTCGAGGAGTTTTTACTATTGACATCTGCAATGGCAAAAAACAATAAAAAAGGGCTTCATTTTTAAAAAAGGTATTTTCTGGTGGGAGAACTAAACTTACTAAACTTCCAAATCTGAGCTGCTGTGAGGATGATGCACCAGTGATAATGGTCTTCAAATATGGCAGAAAAATCCTGTGAACCATTGAAATTCTGTCCTTTATCATGGGGTGAATACTGGTAATCTTAATAGCCTGAGGTCACAAGGAAGCCACCAGTCACAGTGAAGTCATAAAGCTTTCACTTGATGTAGTTTCCTTGAGGCTGCTGTGATGCCAGCCAGGCCTTGGGGCGTATAATGTGGGACTATTTTGGGAAGCTGCGAAAGCCCAGTTGAAGGTCTTGTGGTCCCCAGCTGAAGGCCTTGCGGTCCTGAGTTGGTGAATGGTTGTCGCATTGGTGGTAGTTGTTTAAACAGCAATAGCCAAGGGCAGGTGACTTCAGCTCCCAGAGTGGAATAAATCTCTAGGTCAACTGAAATGGAATAAAAAATATCTATGTGATCCCCCTCGTTTTGACTTATTTTACAGATTCAAGATTTCAAGCAGCGGTCAAAGAATAAAGAAACAAAACAAACCATCTTTCCCACCAGTCAGGGGACATTTGAAGGGGCTGTAAACATCACTAAAACCCTGCTATATTTTCTCCTCTCCTTTCTGCCTTTAAGGAGGACTCCTTTCTCCTGTGCTTTTCTCCCAGCGCAGTCTTCAGCAGGCACTGATTTCATGGTGGTAATTTTGGCCGACAGAGACAAAAACCTCCTTTGGAGAGTTGTGTGAAAGCTCACCCCATCACCCACAGGCTGCCACAACACTAACAGTGTGTCCTCCTGAACTTGGCATACCAGGAGATAAAACACTGATTTCACCGTTCCCTTCTCAGCACACACAGGGAAAAACAACACAAAGCCAAGCCTTAAAGTTTCAGCACACAGCACACAGATTTCTCGTGATCGGCCCGGCTGATTTTGGGCACCCTTCCATCCTCATGCTAATGAAAATAATTGAAGGCATTTAAAAAAAATTAGGTCACTCAAAATTGAAACACCTGAATAAGCAAAATATAGAAGAAAAAATATGAATCCATCTCAGAGTACTGGAAGAAAAAATGAATGGGCAGCACTTAAGAAAGTACTGATCCCTGGAAAACAGGTGTTTGCATCAATTGACCCTTTGCTTAGCGCTGACTCCCACCCATAGTTAATGTTGCTGCATCTGTCACGTTCTCCATTCAAGCACGGCATATGTGCTATTTGGAATAACAGTGGTACATTTATCACTAGAATTGTATTCTTGAAACAATGGTTCCTCTGTTTCACGCAGATGTAAGCACAAGCAGGCTTCCTATTTCTGCAGATGACAGGTGATTGTGTTGGTCGACTGTTGCTACCTATTCCATTTAGGATTGCAACTATTATTTCCTTTATCAATGAATCTGCTGATTATTTTCTCAATTAAACAGTTAATTGTTTGGTTGATAAAAAGCCTGTTAGAATTTCTAACAGCCTGAGCTGATGTTTTCATATAGCTTGTTCTACTCAAGATATAGACTCAAACCTTTACATTTGGTTCTGGTTAATGATTATTAACCAGTTCAAAGTAGCGGCCAATTAGTTTTCTGTTGATCAACTAATTGATTAATCGACTAATCGCTTGTACAAGAAACATGTACAAGGGTTTTAAATATGGACTTTATGGCTACATACACAATCATACTAAAAGACTAAACCTGCAATTCTCAGGCACAAAGTCAATGTTGAAGACTCTGAAATAGCTGAAGGACACTGATGAGCCATGTAGAAGTAAATAAAGAATAAATAAATACTAAAATTAAAAAAAGAAAAAGAAAAAGCGTTCTTGTACTGTAGTGTAGTACAGTATTATAAATAAAAAGTACATGTCATTTTGTTCTAAAATAATGAGACTTACCACTTGGATAGCAACATGGAGGTTAGATTTCTGCTTAGTTTTATGCTTTATGCAAAGTCGTTTATGAAGGGGACTAACCAGTAAGTTTGGGAAGCGTAATTCTATCTGGGGTGATGAGTTATGGCCCGTGATGCTAACTTGGATATAGGAGCATCAGCACAGTGAATATGTTGGTCCTGTACAGAGGTTTCTGTAACATAAACTGTAATCCCACATAATGACAGTTAGCTAATGATGTGCTCCTTGGCTTTTGAAGTGACATTACTACTGTAGGTAGGAAGCTCATTAAGCCAGACATTCTAAAGTTTGAAGCTTATATTAAAGCAGACAAACACACCGCTTAATCCATTTCTTACACTCTTGCTCTATTGTTAAGGGTTTAGAAAGGGGATAAAAAGCATTGCTTTTACTAGAGTGATATTTGGAGAAATTCAAAGCTTGACAGAGCTGCTGTGCCTAGTTACGGTTGCTGAGCTAGGACTGGACAATCACTGTTCAAGGGAGGGGTTTAGCAAACAGTCAACTGCAGAGCAAAGCTACAGAACAAAGTTGGCTGTCAAAGAGGCCATTGGAAGCAGGCAGCTGCATGTGCACAAACACAATGTCACTAAAAAAAATCATTTCAAAATAACTAAGGCAACGCAGATATAAAACAAGCAAATCACAACTTAAAGAAGAAAGGAGGCAAATAACAAAATGATGATTGGTAAAGAGGAAGGTATCGCTGCGAAAAAACTCCAAAAGCACCAAAGCCAAGCGGAATCAAATCAAACTTGGGTTGCCCAGGTGTGGTCATGCAAGGGGTAATAAAAAAAAAAAAGCAGTAAAGCCCCGGGGTTGTTACAGGGAGTGTTGGAGAAGCATGCGGCATTCGTGCTGAAGCATGCAGACCTGAGAGCAGCTCAGTGTCGGTCCGCACAGAAAAAAAAAGGGGGGGAGGGAGAGGAGTAGAGTTTCTGACCTGTGGCTCCTTACAAGATGCGACGCTCTTCTTCCGGAGAGAATTATAAAATCCTCAAGCTAGGGAGGGGGGAGAAGACAGAAAGATCAGACAAGACAGTTATGTAGCATGTGTGTGTGCCTACAAGAGGGAGGAAGCAGTTTGTGTGTGTGTGTATTTGTGTGTGTGTATGCTGAGTATGTGTGGTTAGTTGTCTAGACCATGGTAAGACAGACATAATGATGAATCAATGCAAACACATACAGCACAATAGAACAATTTACAACACACATACACACATAAGTGACTTGCATGTCTACTGACCACTAAGCCGGTGATATGATGTGCGCTAACTTTTTATAGCCAAGGACAAATGAATGACAAACATTATCTTGTGTAAATGCCATCAGAGGAAGCTGTGGTTCTTTTCCTCTAGTTCTCTGTCGACTACTGATGACTCACTGTTCACTGTGGCATTTTCCAGCCTGTGAGCACAACTGTAAGGTTGTGGGTAGCCACGTCTGTGCATCGACCAAATATAAACAAGGTCAAAGCACTCTCCCTTCAACACTGTTGAATTATGTCTGCTCCGTTCGGTCTAATCCCATGAGAGGTCAGGCATGGTCAAGCCTTAAACCACTATTCTGGGAACAGGTTGCACAATTTATAGGTTTATCAATTTGATAGTGGAATGCAGAGACATGTTGAATTATGCATTAGCTGAAACACTATGAGGTTAAAAGCTTAATTGTTTAATATTCCACTGGTTTTTATTTTACATTGCAGGAGGGGTGAAACCACTTCTCGTCAATCACAATATGTCTTTAAAGCCCCTGAAAACTTGCTAAGTAGCATAAGAGTAAATAAGCAACAAGCTAAGTCCAAGTATGGAAAAGAAGACCTCTCAGTTAAAACAGAAAAGAAAATGTAGAAACCACACTGCTCACAAACAGAAGTGGATTGAGAAAATTTGTTTTCAGGAGCTTTATAATTTTGTACAGTGTCAGCACTAGACATGCATCAATGTGCATCATTAATGAAACAAGGAAGAGAACAAAGACATTAGGACATAATCTGCATCGGAGCAGTAACAGAACAGTAAGCTGGAAAACTCTTTTGCTTTTCTTTCTGGTGCATGAAAACAAGATTTTATAAGTCACAGGGAGGGAAAGTAGAAATCTTCTTATTGCCATTGTGACAGATGGTTGGGCCTCCATTCACAACACTTTCCAGTCTGTTCCCTTAGACTGCTTCCCTGAGCAAAATGAAAACCCTTACAACAAGGCTGAATACATTCTCCCTGCAGAAGTGCACACGCTTTATTCCCACAGTCCACTACAATCCAACTCTGTTTGAGTGCAAAATGTGGGCTTACATATTTACTTTGCCATGATAGGAACTCATGGTCAGTTTCCACTTGTATTGTTTGACAAAGAATCAATGCCTAATTATCACTACATCCTTAAAAAAAAAAAAAAAACTTCAATTTATCTTTAAACAATAAAATAAGTCATTAAATTCCCACCATAACAAACTAAGGCTTTCAGAACGGATGCTGCTGGCAATGCAACAAATACTGTCCCAGAACAATTAAGGAGACAAATCTTCCAGACAACTGAATTCAGGTCACCCAAATCAACCCAAATATGCAGATTCATTAGCATTTGCTTGGTGGGGTAAGCTACTGTAATGCAGGCCCCCTGCTCTACTGTATAAAAGAATAATCAGATTATGTTAAGCAGAGATGATGCACACCAGACTATGAACATGGGTAGTTCACTTAACAACTGATCACGTAAAAAAAAGCTGAAAAGCTGTGGATGTGCATGAACATTAACTGTATAAAACCGTCTTTCCTTCATTATACTGATGACCACACTGTCCTGAAATCCTTTACATTTCTGTCATCAAGTATAGATTTTAGCTGACTGTAAATTAGCAGACCAGTTTCATGGTTACTATCAGTTACCTGATTCCCGGGGGCCAGAGGCTGGTTAATCACAGAGGTCAAGACTAGAGTCATGTTTGATAGTTGCAGTGTGTAGCCACTTATAGACAGTAAAGTCCTTCAATATACCTGTGTTTCTCCTTCCTCCAGACTTTCCACATTCTCGTCACTTTTTCTCTCAGTGACACACAAACAAAAGTAACAAACATGTATGCAAGTAAGCACAAATTCACAACGAGCGAGTCTGTCTCTCACCCTCCTCTTGACAGCATCAATAGAGCACTGGGAGAAGATGACAGTTGCATAAGATTGATGAGCTGGAGGCCAAAGGGGGCATCCCCCTCGACATCCTTAGGAAGCACTTTGATTTGGCTTCCCTCTACTCCCACAAAACCCTGTGACAGCTGATACAGAGCACCCACGAATCCCAATGACACCAGTGACACCACGCCTTCACATGTCTTAATTCAGGATGTCCTTAGTGGGTGTCGAGCCTGGGTGCGAGGCCAGCCGTGCCCTAAACCACGCCCTTGGTGACACAGCGGTCTGGAGAGGGGGCAGAGAGGAAGTGGAGATGTCACGGGTCTGGGTTTTTTTTTAAATTGATGAGTGGACTTGAATGAGGACCAGGCAAAGCTGGTCTTTTGAAGACTCTTCAAGCCAGAACAAATTTATTAATGGCCCTACTTCAGAAGCTCAGCCTATGGTAAACATACTGACAGGATGGGCTATTGAGTTCACTCCACTGTGACACCTGATTTTCTCCAAGATGACAAAAAGGACCCAGCTTGAGCTCTCGTCAGTATCGTCTGACCATCACAACTCCATCTCTCGCACCAATACCCTACGCAACACAACACTGCTGCATTTTATTCAGGTATTTTGAACAAATTCCTTAATATGGCCCCTGAAATAATGTGTTAAAAAGTCTCCAGCTGAATCGTCCATCGCAACACAAACTTTAAGAGGAAATTTTACTATCCCCTCTTGTCACCGTTAACAGAAAAGAGCACTGTAAAAGTTTAAGTTGACAACAAGCCAGTGGGACTATTTTCTCTCAGCACAAATTGTTCCAGCCAATTATGTTGTCAGCACTTTTATTTTCCTTAACGTTTAGTCCTGTGGATGCCCCTCGTGGATGAGGTCCTAAGCCTCAGACCATCAACTGCAGTATCCCCGGTTCAATTATAATTTTGACCTGATGGTGGTACTATATGAAAAGTCAAGCAATCAATAACTGTAACAAATTTTATGGCCAACAGTTGTTGAGATGTTTCCCTCAAAGCCACAAATGTCATCTTCGGAGAACCATAAAGGTCTCTGCAAAATCCTGTGTCAATGCATTTGGCAGATGTTATTTCATTGGATAAATGTGGAAATACTGACCTGTTAGTGGCGCCAAAATAAATGTCAGGAGACCACCAGTGTCATTAGGATTCATGCTCTGGGCACCATGAACATCTGTATCAAATTTCGTGTCTATCTATCCATCAGTTGTCAAAACATTTCACTCAAAACAGGAAAAGGTTAAATGTTAGCAGTTGAATTCATCCTCCTCATCCTCTGACCATGAATGTTTGTACGAAATTGACAGTCACGTCAATCCATCCGATAGTGGTTGAGATTTTTTAGTCTGGACCAACGTGGTGGACTGACCCACACCGCCATCTCTAGCAAGATCCCTAAAAATCAATGATTTTTTTGCATGGCGATGCAGTTAAAAGCAAGGACCATTTTAAATCTGCTCCTTGATATATTGAAAAGGGTGGTGGGAAATTTAAAAAACACAATAATTCATCTACAAACATACAGTCAAATTGCCATATGAACCTTACGGACCAAACATTTGGGTGTTTAGCAGATTTCTAACTGCGGGTGCTGCAGTTTTGGATAAGTGACAGACAGCTCTTAACCAGCTTCAGTTGGTGGTTTTCGCTCCCATGAGACCAACATGGATACACCCAAACACGGGACCTTGACTGATACGGATACAGAAAAGCACAAAGACACACAGACTGGGGAAGGCCATTCATCTCTATGATAGTGTGGTCATTCCAGTAAGAGCCCACCACCCCTCTCCATCCCACCACCGTACACACACATTCTCATCAGTGCAGTCATCCTTACTGTCCATCTGTAAACATCCCAAGCCTCTGACAGGGCTGTCAGTGTGCACCACCATAGGTGGGGGAGGGAGGGAAAACGAGAGGTACAGAGGAAGAGAGAGAAAACAGGCTTCAGTATGAGGGAGGATATTCAAGCGTGCAAATTCATACAGTGGTTGAAGAGAAGAAAGAGGGAGGACAAAGCACAAGAACAAGGAGAAGTGAGTAGGAGGAGGATTCTCCTTATGGAAAACAAGAAGGAAACCGTTGCATAAAGAAATACGATAGTATGGTTTGAGGGCGTATGGAATGGAACAACACATTTTTCCATCTTGTTTTTTTGTGTTCTTCCTCAAAGAATGGAGGCATCCAGTTCGAGGTTCAATTCACAACCCAGAGATTACAGTTAGCAAAGTGTTTTCAAAGACATATTTTCCACATAACCTACATTCTCTCTGTGGATTTGGGACACTGTCTTTCTGTCCCACTCGTATATGATGCAATACAGTGAAGGCTGGTGTAAATCTCTTTCAAAGAATAAATACAGAACAACTAGGTGAAATTCCTGCTCATTCAAATCCTGGATGGAGGGTGCATGGACTGTACTTTTACTCGCGAACATGCACGCACATACACACACACATACACAAAGCAGTGTGTTGAAGAGGATTATGCAGGCTTGAATTTCAACAGAAAGAACCCCTGTCTACAAGCACTACAGAGCAAATCTGGCTTTAGAAACTTTCCTCATCCCAGAGCATCCTGGTACAATAGAGGGGCTGAACTTAAAATCCTGCAGTTTAAACATGTTCATTTTTGAAGATGCAAAGGCACATTTGCAGATGGATGATCAGCCCTGGCATCAACAGCAACATCTGCAGTGAAAACACAGACGCAAAACTCTTTTACCAAACAACTGCGTGAATATTGTGCACTTCGGGGTCACATACACTTTGCTGGAAAATGTCAGAAACCATGCAAATGCCAAATACCCCACTTGCTGTGGATGTAGCTGCAGGCC